CGTGAACCACAGTCGACTATGTGGGAGTCCAGCGACATAGCCATTACGCTAACTGCTGGTTCCCGGCCTTCTCATCTTTTAATCCCAGGATTCGCATCCATATAATGAACTTTTGAGGACAGACTGCAGCGTAGTTAGCCGAAAGGTTTCAGAGCAGAGCCTTCTGGGATGCAGAGGACAAGAGCCCCAGCGTGAATTCCATGAAAGGGGAAGAGAGAAAGAGAACTAAAAGGAAGACAGAAAGATAAATGAAGGAAGAAGCTAGAGAAGAGAGAGCCATGCTGGGAAGTGTAGGACAGAGGCCTCCCTGAAAGAGCAGTGCAAGGTTTGTTACAAACACCTTTCTAGTCAGTGGTTTTGGGTCCCCCAGCCCATCCTCAAAACTTAACTGTACTTGGAAGACGTGGCTGACATAAGTGACTCCACTTTGGGGAGAGAGAAAAAAAAAATTGGCTTTAAGAAACCTTCTGAATCAAGCTGGGCAGTGGCCGACAGAGCACATTAGCAGGGCTCAGGAGCGCAGGCCCAACAAGCCACAGGTGACGACCCGAGCCGACCCCTCACAGGCTGAATCTAAAGTCATTGTACCACTAATCTCTCTGTGTTCGAGTGCAGTGGAATATTCTGCAAATCTAAGGTCTTCTTGCACTGGGAGGGAATGTCTTCATTCTCTTTCATGGGTGGGATTCTTTCTCTGGCTCCTGAGGGTTTGAATATAGCATGCCAAGCTCTTTATAGACAAATCCAACACTTTCAGATACAGAGAGACCCCTTGACCAGGAAGGTAGTTTTCTGGGGCAGGGATGAGATAAGGACAGCAGAGGAAGATTTTTCTTCTCACCAGTGGAAAAGAATGAAGATCCCCCTGCCCAGCAAGGCTCACCAAAATAACAGAAAAACCCTCCAATACAAAGGGCTCATTGATAAATGACCAGACTGAGGCCATAGGTCACAGAGCCAGAGCATGCTAAGTCTCTGGGCAGCCTCTGCCAGGGCCAGAGTGGAGGAGCTAGGGGCTACAGATCACAGGCTGCCAGGGAGAGGGGCCCACTAGGGCCGGATCAGTGACTGGCCCCTCCCTCGCTGGCCTCTCTGTTTCGTGAATGGGTTTTGGAACCAGATCTTGACTTGAATCAGGCTGCGATGGAGGCTGTGCATCCAGCTCCTGGTGTTGGTCAGAGCCCAGGTCAGGAAAGGCTGCAGGAGGACCTCCTCCAGTTCACTCAGCTGCTTTGAGGAGAAGCTGGTCTGTAGGCACGGCCTCTGCCTCCACCTCCCCAGTTGTATAGGCTGCCATCACCTGAGTGAAGATAGGGAGTAGTGGTGGTACCTCAGGGCCTCTGCAGGCCCACCAGGCTCTCCCAGTTCCCCTCTTCCTCCCCAGGATTCTCTGGAATCAAGATCCTCTTCCTGTTTTTCTCTCTCTTTTTTCCCTTGTTATCTCTCTGTATCTTCATTCCTCATTTTCCCTTCCTTCTTTTGTATTCTTTCTGCCCCACCTCCACTTTTCATCTTCTTGCCTTCCTTCACCTTTCTCTCCTTTCCGTTCTTCCTATCTTTCCTCTTTCCTTCTTCTACCTCTTTTATTTTCTGTTAAATATTTATTTACTTAATTCCATTTGTTATTATTTTTTAATTTGACCAGAGAGAGAGAGAAAGGAAAGGGAGAAAGCAAGCTGCCAGGTCTAGAACTCGAACCATGGTTGGCCATGTGGGAATCCAGTGCCTTTAACCACTCTGCTTTTTTTTTTTTTTTTTTTTTCTCTCTCAATTTTAAGGTCTCATTATGTTGTCCAGGTAGGTCTCGAACTCTAGATCCCCTGCCTCAGCCTCCTTTGGAGCTGGGACTTTAGGCACTCCTGGCATCCTATCCTGATCTTTTGTCCCAGTTTGTCCCTTCAGTTGCCTTTTCCCTCATATTTACCTCTCTTACTTTTCCTTCATTTTCTTTTACTCTTCAGTTCCCTTTTTTCTTCACTTGCTTTCTTTTTTTCTTATTCTCCTCCTCTCTCCTTTTTCATTTCTGCTTTTATGTCCTATTAAAAACAAAAACACCAAATAAACCTAACCCTGCTCCTTCTTTCTGCCCTTTATCAATATTCCTTTCATGTCCATTTCTCTCCCACCCGCTCGCCTGAGTAGTCTCTACCGCTGTCTCCAGCGCTAGGGCTTTCTCAGGGCTTTTCCTCTCTCCCAGTCTGTCTTCTTTGTTCTGAAATTTCCCAGTCTCTTCTGTTGTTTTCCTAGACCTTCTTTCTCTCTTCCTTTGTTTCTAAATCCCTCTGTGATTGGCATATGGCATAATGCTGCCCAGACCCCAGTGGAGGTTTCTGTCCTGTGTCAGCCCAGCCATCCTTCATGCCATTCTTTGTCAAGTCCCTTTAACTTGGGGCTCAATTTCAAGGGCCCCAAAATGGAGCTTTTTGCCCTATGCAAGATGTCAGGGCTAGGTCCACAGTTCCCCACCACCGGCTTAGGCAAGCCTTACCAAACTGCTGCCACTCTATCATCCCTAAGAAGAAAGAGGAAGAGAAGAAAGAGAAAAAGAGAAAAACCCGCAGATTTGTGGAATGGGGGTGGGGAGGCAGGAACAAAAAGGACCAGATTCATAGAAGGGAGGAGAAGCTCAGAACCAGGTGCCCTCTCCCCGTAGCCTACAAAAAGAGGCCCAAACCAGCTCTCATGTTAGTTCTGAGGCTGGAGAACACTGAGGCCTTCTATCCGGACCTTCTGGGCTGCAGAGGTGCAAGAGCCATGGGATCCAAAGAAAGAAAAGGGCTGAGGTTTGTTTTGAGTATTAGTGGGATTCATGGCTACCCCCGGACACTTCCCAGCTTCTTGGGGACCACATCAAACTTGCTCTAGGTAGTGCTGGATGGGCTCTCTCAAACTTTACTCCCTGCTGGGGCTTATAGAGGTTGAGCAGGTGTGGGGAAGGTGGGGAGGAGGGGGGTGGGGAAAATCCTCAGAAGCAGGGAAAACAAAGGCCTGGGCAGATTGGCCATTCCTGACCCAGCAGGTCTAAGCAGCTCTGGAGGTGTGGGCCCAGTGCTCACTCCACATGGGAATTTTTCTCCTGGATCCACGCCCCTCCCTACCCTCTCCAAAAAGCAGCCTTCATAGCAGTCTGCAGCCTAGTGGCCTCCCCCAGCATGGGGTTCCCTGATTAGAGGCCAGATCTGGAAACCTCAGAGACCCTCCACCACCGCCAGCGTAGGCTCTGGCTGAATGTTCCTGCCCAGGGACACCCAGGCCTCCAGTGCCTCCGCCCTACCAGCACCAATGCAGCGGCCTCCACCCCCACCTGCTACCCCAAATCACAGGCCCAGAGGCCGGTTCCTAAGCCCATCCGGCCTGCCCACTCCTCCTTGTCCCCAGCCCTGAAGTTCAGTTGCACCCTGTGCACCCACCTGCTCTTGACTGCCTCTTGAAGAGCCTCCCCTCTGTTCCTCGCAGGCTGTCTCTGTGAGAAGGGCAATCCGGCCCCAGGAGGGGAGCGGGACCTCCCTACCACCCCCCCCCCTCCTTTGGGAGCTGGAGAAGGTAAGAGCTGTGCTGGGGGTGAGACAGTGGAGTACTCTCCCTGGACTCCATTTCAGGGCAATAGGTCTCTGAGTCAAACTGGATTGGAGAAAAAAAAAAAAAAAGACGAAGACACTTGGGAGTTTTCCCTCTCCCAGTCACTCCTAAATTATTGTAAAACCAGCGAGCGGCTGCAGGACAGCCGAAACCCAGCAGCCCAGGACCAGACTCAGCTCCGGGCGGACACCCCGCCCCCAGTCCCGCGGAGTCGGAAACTGCTACTTTCCGCTAGTTCTTCTTTCCGTTTCCGCGGAGACCCCTCTCAGGATCTCCAAGCGTCTCTAAGGGCTGGGGGACTGAGCAGGTTTGGGAGCCAGCCGGGTTTTCTACGGGGGTAACGGAACCCCTGGGAAACACACTAATGCATGCCTCCTTCAGGGCGGGAAGCAGAGAGCCCCTCCCTCCCACTTTAAACCTCCACACCCCAACTCGGCTCCCTTTTCCATCTCCTTCAGACAACTTTTATAAAGTTCCTGCAAGTTGCTTTTGGGGACAGAAGTACTCTCCCGCAGGCTCTCGTGCTCTCTCTGCCCCAATTCCTCCCTTTCTCCCCAGTTTCAGAAGCAATCCTCCCACTCCCCTGCTGACACCTCAGTGCCCACACTCGGGGGAGGAAAGCTGCTCTCTCACCAAGCACCTGACAGACACCCGATCCCAGCCCAAATGCCCCCAGGGAGAGCCGGTGAGTGCCTGTAGGGGAACAGGACAGAGTAAGAGAGAGGGGAGAGACAGAGACGGGGAGAGACAGATTGTTTTCAGGTCCAAGCGCACCCCTCCCAGACCCAGCTCACCTGCTCCAGACGGGCTCCTCTTCATTTCCATCCACTCAAAAGTTTGTGCTCCTCTCAGACGATTCCAGAGGGGTGCAAACTCGGCCCTTGTGTGGGTGGTCGGTTAGGGTGGCCGCAGATGTCTGATCCAGACCAAGTCGGGGGACGTAGGACCCGGTGCACCGTCCCCAAAGAGGGGACCGAAGCAGTGATCCGGAGAGAAAGCATTCACGCGCCCAGGACAGGGGGCCAGGCTGCTCTGGAGGCCGCCCGGACCGAGTGGGCACCGGGGAGGGACTGGCGAGCTGGGCCGAGCCAGCCCCGGGAGCTGGAAGGAGAGAACCCTGGGTCCCTGGCGACGTCTCTCTTCCTCCAGTTTCTGCTCTCCGGCTGAAACCCACAACATTCCCTCGACCCCTTCTGGGGCGGCGTTCAGGGCTCTCGCATGGCAGAAAGGGAGGGTGAAGGGGCGAAGTAACCCCCTCAGCCCCTCCCCAGCCCCGGCGCCACCGCTCCCCCCACTTTCTTCCCCAGAGCGAAGGGACAGACAGAGAATTGCAACTAGAAAGCCGATCGATTGGTACGGGGGACCACGTGGTCAGGGGCTGGCCAATGACCAGGCCGCCCGGGATGAGCTAATAATGGAAGCAATTTGTAACTTTCAGTGGCTCTCCAAGCCTGGGTACCGGAGGGAGGGAGGCGGACGAAGGTGGGGAGATGGACACCCCTAGTCCTTCCACCCTGCTCACTCGTCTAGGGGCACCCGGATTCTCTATTCCTCCTTTTCTCTTAACAGCCAGGCACCCGCGAGGTCCCTTGCCAACTGCTGTCGGGCCGCCACTGCAGAGAAAGGTAAGCGGGTCCTCCACCCCTCAGACGCCCCTCCCCATCCCAACCTCCCACCCGCGTCCTTTCCAGCACCTGCAAACAACGTCTCCCTTCTTGTCCCATTAGACAATTTAAATCCGACTTTGTTTTTCTCTTAGTTGAAAGAAAAAACTGATTTTGTATTCTTTCACGTAACCCGTTTCCTATTAGAGAAAACATTAAGTTCAGATTAATACTTTTCTTGGAAGTGGGGGTTGACCGGTACTTTCCTTTTTTTTGATAAATTTTATATTCCCTCCTCTTGGGGAGGAACATTCGGCTTATGTAGTTTACTTTTCTTTGGGGATGAAAGTATGATTTTGCAAGTTTTGCTTCTTTAATGATGTTAGGATCACCCCCCTTCTCTATCCCATCCTCCAATGAACTATTTACAAATAATGACTAAACAAATTTCAAGTTTATTTGTTATTCCTCTCCCTCACTAGTTTTTCAGCTGTTACAGAATCCCTACAATTATTTTTTCTCTTTGTGTGGACAGAGGTTTAGTTTGGGGTTGATTTCTTTTTTTGTTTTGTAAATGAATTTATTGTTTGGGAAACTCTATGGAATGAGCAAGGTCTCTTTTGATTCATTCCAGCCCCTCCTCTTTTGAAGAGCAATTTGTTTAACGGTCTCATACATTTTCTTTTTTGTTATTGTGTCTCAATTTTGATCATTTTTCTTCTTTTAAAATCTAATCTCTTAAATTTAATCCTTTGTATGTTAAACCATTTTAAAAGTTTTTATTCTTACAAGGTGACTGTGTTTGTACATTTTCTTACCTTTCCCCATACTCCTGCCTTCTCCATTTCAAAACTCCCCCCCCCCAACTTCCAGAATTCTCAGCTTCACATTGGATTCACCCTCCCTTCTCTTTTCAGCCAAGTAGAGATGCCTGAGAAGAAGAAAATGTTCTCCTTGGGTCAGAACCTATGCCCAGGTTCTAGTCCTGGGCGCCTTCAGTCCAAATATTCAAGCCTGCAAAACCAGAGAACAGAATTACGGTTCAACTTTTTAGTTCCACACTAAGTTCACTGGATCTAATCCTGGACAACTCTCTAGTACAAAAAGTTACATTTTAAAATCTCATCTTTTTCCCAGTGCCAACAAAAAAGGCAAGCAGATTGTATTTTTCTCCCCTAAAATGTAAGCAGTTAGTTCAGGGTCATCCTGTTGATTCCTTGACCTTCTGGGGGAGGATTCCCAGAAGAGATACACAATATGTATGCCTCCTTTTGCTTCTGGTTAGAGTGGAGGTGGCAGGGCTTGAGGGACCCCATTTTGATCTCCGGCTCTGGATTGGAACAAAGAAGGGTCGCGAGCTGGCCAGGGCACTCAGTTACTTCTGGTCAGCGAGGTTTGGCTTAGGAGAGTTTGGGGTATATCTTGGCTCTGAGGAAATTCTTTTTAAGCATTACTGTGGAGGTGAACTATTAAAACGGTGTGACATGTTTTCAATCTATTCAGATTTATCACAGGTGCAGAAATAAAATTACAGGAGAAATTCACGTTTCCCGAAGATACATTTTGGGTGTCTTTATCTGTTTATCTTGGGGAGACAGAATCCAACTGGGCAGAAGTAAAACTGCTGCTCCTCCCCTCCTGGGTCTCCATCCCATGGTCACATTGACATTCTGGGCACATTCGGCCCAGCCCCCGTCCCTGCTTCTCCCAAGTATGAATCTAAATTACTATTAATAAGGGGCCGCTCCAAGTTAATTGGCATTAAAAGAATTCATTTCAATTTGTTAATATTAAATGAACGCTGTGCACTTTCGCTCCCTTCTTCGCCCCGGATTCCCAGATGAGTGATGGCAAGAGGGGGCGGGGGAGTAGAATGAGGATTTTATTTCTGGCTCTCTGGCTTAGCCACTGAACTGCCTCCCCTGGGGGTGTGCGATCAGGCGCAGTGGGGACCTGATTGGGGGAAGTCGATGGTATTATTTGATGAAATTCTTCTGCTTCAACCAGAGCTGTGGGGGACGGAGGAGGGGACAGAGAGAGGGTTTGGGGGACATTGCAGGGGAAAGCAGGGACTATGCAGAAAGTGATAAGAGAAAGGGATAGAGAGAATTTGGGTAAAGCAGACTTGTGTAAAAGCAGCAGTAGCTCAAAAGCCACCTAGAGAGGGAGGGGCTTGGGGCAGGAGCTGATTTGAGGCCACACAGCTAGGGGTCCTGAAGCTGTCTAGCTTTCTAGCTGTGTGACTTTAGGCAATCTGATGAACTTTCTACTCTTACTTCTTGACCTGTAAAACAGGGATAATAAGAATAGCACCTATGTCAGGGAAGGGATTGTTTGAGATTACATGAAATATGTGCAATGTGTTTGGCACAGAGAAATGCCAATCAGTGTTTGCCAGGCTTTGGTATAGTGGCTAAGAGCATGGATCTGGAGCCCAACTCTCTGGTCTGAATCTTCGTCCGGCCTTGCAGGACGACCTGAGCCAATTACTGAACCTCTCTGTGCTGCAGTTTCCTCATCTGTAAAATGGAGTTAGTCGTTAATAAAAGGCTCTCGTGAGGATGAAATGGGTCCGTACGCGTGAAGTGCCTAGAGTAATGCCAGTCCCTCAGGAAGCACCGGATAAACACTTGTCAGTACTGCTGCTGCTGCTCTTCTCATGTAGGAAGGTTGGAAATAGATCCCCGAATCTAGTCTAGCAACTGGGACGGTGCACGGAGATCCCTTTGGGAGGTGGGAAGCCCAAGTTCTTCCCTGGCCTCTGGTCTGGCTCTTGGGTTGGTAATCTTCTCTCAGTGCCCATAAGCTTCAGGGGGAAGTCACTTCTTTTTCCCTTGGGAGGCCCGTTGGTGGAGGATTGCTTTCTTGGCCTAATACTCCATTTAGTTGAAAGTTAGTCCTGGGAGTGTGGGTTGGGAGAGGTGGTGTGGAGTAGAGGCTGATGTTCACTAGGTACTGTCTAATTATGTAGCGAGCTCCACACACCTAGCCTCTGTCCAGAGGGTGGGGAAAACAGGTCCAAGCGATGAGGGGAACTGACAAAGTCATAAAGCCAGGAGGTGGCAAAGTTGGAATCTGAACTCTGATCTGTCTATACCGATTTATTTATTTTTTTTAGTTTGCTATGGGGCACATGTACTTACCTGAGAGAGACAGAGAGATATAACCCCCCAGAGGGAATGGTCACAGTGCAGTCCCTTCTCCTCTGGTCTCTTCTCAAGATTTGGGGCATGCACATGTATTTGGCCAGGATAATTTTCAAGATACGATGTTTGGAACTCAAACCACAAGGTAGGCCACTTAAGATCTAGCCACCTTAATCTCCATGCCACTTGCTGGACCCAACCTATGACAAATCTTACTGCCCTTCTATGCCACACATTCTCTGAAGGAGGAGGGGGACTTTCTGAAGGAAGGGGCGAGCACCTACAACTTGGGGCAAGAACAGGAGCAGGACCATGGGACAACTGGAAGATGGGAGGGTAGAAAATGGGAAAAGCCCATTGGGGATTAATATGCGGAAGGCTTCCTGGAGGAGGAGATTATTGAAGGAAATGAGGGTAGGAAGTGAAGAAGTAGGGGAGTTATACAGTGACATGGAAGGAGAGGAGGAAAGGACTCATACAAAGGCTGGACGAGAGCAGGGAACATGAATTAGATCTGCCTTGGGTTTGCTTGCTGGTACCAAACCATGTACGGAGGTCATACTATGTGCCAGGTACGCTCTTTATTTCACTTGATGTTCACCACACCCTTACCAGTGTAAGGTCTTATTCCTTTTCCAGAACAGTCTATTGAAGTTCAAAGAGCTTAATCCCCACGTCAGGGCACACAGTTTGCCCCTCACTGGAGCCCAGACCTGAGCTGTCTGCCCAGCCTGGCTTCGCTGTCCCCTCTCACCTTCCATTTCTCCTTCAGGTCATTCTGTACTTTCACACTCTAGTCACATCTGGTGCCTGGAAACAAGGGGTTAGAGAGTTGGGGGAGAACAGGAGCGGGACGGGCACGTGGGCAATGACGTTAGAAACTTTTCTGAAATCTGCCCGAGGAAGATGGATAGAAGGAAGTTTTTTCTAAAGGGAGGCCTCCAGGTCACTTTCCTGGGACATTTTGGGATGAGTGGCAGGGACCTGATTGGGAGTCGCGTCATTTTCTGGGCTGTGGACTCTACTTCCCTTCCTCTGGGAAGAGAAAAGGAAGATGGCTCACATGTGAGTTGAGGCCTGGATGAAGCTGCCTGTTGTCCACTAAATTGTTTTATTTTCTGGTTACATGAGGGTAGAGAGCTGCCCGCTGGACACTCCATTTCCCAGCTGCCCTCATTGCCAGATGGGGCAGGAGGGGAGTGTGAGCTGAGTGATGTCTGGAGCCTGAAGACATTGAGTAAATTCTCCTTTGTGTTCTCATTTTCTTGAGCTGAATAGATGTGCCTGCAACTGAGGTTTGGCCAGGTAGCTGAGGAGGAATCCCTGAGAGGGGGCAAGGCGACATGGAAGGAACCCGAGTCTCGGACTGACCAGGTGGGGCAGGGCTGCCCTCTGGGACTGCTCCCTTCCAGACTGTCGTGTGAGAAATAAACTTGTGTCTTCTACGTGCTGCTGTGTCTGGGAGCCTTTTTGCTATAGCAGGTTTGCCGTCATCCTTCCTAATACACTTTCTCACACCAGATTTGTCAATTCAGACCCACCAAAAGGATTACATCAGATCGTGGACTAATTATAATAACATGAATTGAGCCAGATACTGTGCTAAAGACGAAATATTTATTTAGTATAGTCCTCATGACAATCCTCTGGGCTATATGTTACTGATACTCTAATTTATAAGGGACCTAAAGAAGATAATGAACACACAACAGATGGTAGAGGCGGGTTTCAAACCCACCGAGTGTACAGAGATGACACCTTTTTCTTTTTGTGTTAAGTGCCACAGAGAGCACACATGTACCAAAGAGTGTCGGAGAGAAGAGAGAGGCAGGGAGAGCAAACACCTCCCAATGTGTAGTCGTATACTGCAATCTCTTCTCCATTTCCTCCTCCTTTGGGATTTGGGACATACAGGGACATGTGCCCGGTGTGATTTTCAAGCTGTTGGTCTGTGACCTGAACTGTGCTGTCAGTCATGTGGAATCTGGCTGCCCTACCCACCAGGCCACTCGCTGGCCCCAGAGCTTATACTCTTCACATGGGGCAAATCCCCTCCTGAGACTCAGCTCAAGAGGATGTTAGAGGTCACCCTGTGCTTGGTCAGTCCACTTGATGGTTACCACAGGGACTGGGAATCCCTCATTCTCACCCTCAAGAAGCTCAGCTGGCCACCGGTGTTGTGTGTTGGGTCACTACGTAGGTTTTATTTGAAGAAAGAACTCATGACTGAAACTGCTTTGAAAATCCCTGGTAAATTCAGATAAGGCTCAGAGAGAGGACGCGACTTGCTTAAGGTCACACAACTAGTCTGCCTGTTCTTCAGAATATAAGATGAGTTATCTTTGGTATCGAGCTGCCTCAGCCAATGGGAAGTACAATAACCAAATCGAGGGGCTGGCAGGTGGTGTGGTGTTTAAGGGCGCTGGACTCTCACATGGCTAACCATGGTTTGAGTGCCAGACCTGGCAGCTTGTTTTCTTACTATCCCTCTCTCCCCCCGTCTTTCTCTGGTTAAATTAAAATAATAATAAATAATGTTAAATAAAATAATTCTTTAAAATTATATGAGGCCAGTAAGTGGCATGGTGGTTGAGGGCACCAGACTCCCACATGGCTGACCATAGTTCGAGTCCTGGACCTGGGGACTTGCTTTCTCACTTTCCCTCTCTCTCTCGCTCTGTCCCTCTCTGGTCAAAATTGAAATAAATAAATAAATAAAGTTATAAAATAATAATAGAAAAAAGCTGTTAAGGTAAAATAGATCTAGGCGGGGGGGGCCGTGGGGTGTCTGGGTCTCCTCCCATATGCTTTGGGATAGCCAAGCGCATTGCCTTATTTCCCCAGGGCCCCTCCCATTGGATGTCTGCCTTGGAGACCCACCTGCCCTGTGCCCAGAGAAAGAGTGGGCTGCACCTTTTCTCCACCCTCCTCATCACCCAGATGGTCAAACACGCAGAGGGCGAGGCAGGCTGGGGCTGGAGCCAAAGCAGTCAAAAAGTTCCCTCTGACTCCCTCTTGTCTTTCCACATTTGTATTTGGAATCTAAGGCTCCCTCCTCCCCCTAGGCCTCTCCTAGTAGCCCACCAGGGAGGAGAAGGGGAAAACTGTCATAAATTTTGCCTATTTATACAAGAAGACAGAATGTTTCTTGTGCCAGAAAAAACACAGAAAGGGAGCTGTCAGGGGAGAAGGGACCCAGCCCCATACCTTCTTGGGTCAATTTATCTTCCCAGTCATGGCTTAGGGGCTACCATAACATTGCCTGTATGAGATGCAGGCTTTGTCTTGGGGGGCCGCCAGGACACACAGTGCCTGGGCTTTGTTTCTGATCACAGCCTTCCTGCTTCATCTCAACTGCCCCCTTCCCCTTTACGTTCTCTTTCTTAAAATCAAGGATATTCATAGATAGGCCCTTTCACCATCATCCGTTTCAGAATGTTTCCGTCACCTCTCGTTACCGCCTCCTCATTCCCCCTGACTCCTTCTAGCCACGAGCAATCACTCATCTACTTTCTCTTCCTTTTTAAAAATTTTTGTGGAGGGCACGTGCGCTCACCAGAGAAGAGGGACACAGAGGGAGAAAGTAACCCCTCCAGGGAGGATGGCCACACTGCAATCCTTTCTCCTCCATTCTCTTCTCAGGATTTCAGGCACACACATGCACAAGCCAGGCGTGTTTGTTCAAGCCACTGGTCTGGAACTCAAACTTCGTTATCAGCCATGTGGGACCCAGTTGCCTTTACCACCACGCCACTGACTGGCCCCTGCTCTTCTACTTTCTGTCTCTATAGACTTCCCTACTCCGGCTTTATAGACAAAATGGCATCATCGGGGACCAGCAGGTGGCATGGTGGTTAGGGCACTGGACACTCCCACACGGCCACCCATAGTTTGAGTCCTGGACCTGGTGGCTTGCTTTCTCACTTTCCCTCGCTCTCCCTGTGTGTGTCTCTCTGGTAAAAATAAATAAATAAATATTTTTTAAAAAATAAATAAAATTAAATATTTTTTAAAATGGCATCATAAAATAAGTGGCCTCCTGTGATTGATTTCTTTGATTAGCTTAGGTTTCGAGGTTCATTCATGATACAGCACTTAGCAATACTTCATTCCTTCTTACGGCTGAATAATATTCCAGTGTATAGATATACCACATTGATTCATCCATTCATCAGCTGGTAGACATGTGGGTGGTTTCTACGTTTTGGATATTATGATTCCCCTTTACTCCTAGGTCTAGACAGCCTG